ATCAGGCGTTCAGAAGTTTTGTGAAGGCTTTTCTTAGGCATTCTAGTAATGTTATAGGTCTAGTATTATTTAGATCAAATTACCATAGTTTTGGTTTTGGAATTGGATAGATATAGCCTATATTTCATCTTGATAAAATTGAGAATATCTGAAGACATCTATAAATAATGTACTAAAATACTTTTTTTTTCTATAGGGCTAAGATGTTTAAGCATTTCATTAGATATCTTTGAGGGGCCAGAAACCTTATTATTTAGAAGTTGATTAATAATTCTATTCCATTCGTTTGCTATTAGCATTGAAGTAAGATGATTGTAATTTAACAAATCAATTTCATGTATAGGTTGATAGATTAATGTCCATTCTTCTAAGATTGATTTATCTTTGTAAATTAAACCAGTTATCTGCTGAAAGTGTCAGGCAACTTCCCTTTAAATATCTATTTCATCTATAAATAAATTAAATGAAGAACTTGTATTATTAAGACACCTATCTAAGATAATGAGTTTTCTTTTTCTATTTAAGACAGAGTCTATCATCCTTTTTGAATCAGATTTGTAATTGTCAATTCTATCTTGTAAGGTTTATTGAATGCTTGAGAGTTTAAATTCATGTTTTTTGAGTTTTACCTTCATTTGTAAAGAAGCTATTAACAATTGTATGTCAAGTAATACTGATCTAATATAAATATTATTAGGAAAGAGTCCATTGAGACAATACTCAAGGAATAATTATGTGTAATTTTAAGGAATTTTCATAAAAGTTAAACTATTTGAGAGAGATAAAGTTATCTCTGAGGCATTTGTGTGAAGATTTGAAAAATTTTTATAGTATCCTGATGTTCATATATAAATTGGATAGAGTGATAAGTTGGTTAGATAGTTGACGAACTTTAGATTTACTGACAGATATGTATTTGTTCACGATCAAAATTAAGGTATCTTAAAACAAATTCTAATATTTGTTTAGCGTTGATTGAGACCAAGTTATAGAGGCAGAAACATTTCTAAAAGCACAACTGTTTATGGCATAATCTAATTTATCTCTAAATTGTGTTCATTTCTTTATATCCATCTTATTATAATTAAAAGAAGATTTAGTAGAACAGTTGTGACTATTGGGATTGATTTGTAAAAAATTAGAATATTTAATAGTGGTGACATAATGATCAGAAATTTGTGAGTCAATAAGTAATACATTAGCCTCAAACATATTAAATACCAGTTCAGGTGTCATCCAAATATAATCAATTCTTGACAATGATTGATTATGATAAAAAGTAGTAAATTGTGATCGATTGGTATCATGTAAAATGACAAAGGAATCAAAAAGATTATAATGATTTAGTGAATTAATAAATGATATAGTTCAAGGTAATTTATTTCTCGTATAGTCTATATTCGCATTAAAATCTTCAAGAAGAATAATGTGGTAATCATTATAATAGCATAATCAAGAAAGTGTTTAACGCATGATAGGACTAGTTTAGTGATTTTTCTTTAGATTTCCTGAGGGAATGTATACGTTGATAACAATAAGTTTTTATTTATCAGAAAATTGTAACTTTGCATAAATAATTCTATTGAGTTTATATTTATATTAAAAAATATGTTTGGAGAGTTGAAGATTAAAAGATAGGCTGACTCCAAATCCACAAGACTTACTATCACAGTTTTTACTAAACATCGTTAAAAAATTTGGAAATGATCAATTAAAAATTAAAGTATTATTATATTTAAAATTAATTTCTTATAGAGCTAGTATATCATAATAATGTGTTCATAAAGTGAAAAAAGGATGTTTTATTTGGTAGATTCATTAACTTCTCTAACGTTATATGAGCTATGAAAAGGTTTTTATTTTAATAGGGTTGGAAATATCATTAGGTTCTGTTGAAATATCAGTAGGAGCAATATTCATAATATATGATAATTATTGTAGAAGACTGCTAATGCAATGTTCTATAATTTTATTAAAATCTTCATTCAAGGGATCAAAAACTTGTATGTAATATTGAGTGATGAGATTTTTGTTAATTAGCATAGTTTGAAAGTCTTGACAAGTTTTGAGTGATTTGTTAATTATTAGAGTGAATTCAGAAATTTGCTGTTATTGTTTTTGGCAAATAGTGATGAGTTGTTCATTAGTTTTTGTCTGTAAATGAACAGTACAGAGTTATGTGTTAATAAATAGAGAATTTATGTCTACTTCAGTAATAGTATCTGGAAGTGCATTATTAAATGATTTAGTTTTTTATAGGATTGTAACTTTAATATTCAGTGCCTTTTCAACCACTTTGAGGTGAGATTATAAAAATTTAAAAGCAGAATAAAGGTCACCAAGGGTATTAGCAATAGATTCAAGTTAAAATGTGATAAATTTCTTAAAATTGGGGTCGTGTATTGATCCACCTACTGCTGTTCTATTTTTAATATTTGGAGTAGGACATACTATATTATTAAAAATAGTTAAAGCTCTGAACGGTTCAGTTCAGTTTGGATTAGATGCCAATCTGTATCCTAACCGAAAATTTTAGTTCAGTTCAATTCGGATTATTAATCTTAAAAATGCCAATCTGAATCTGAACTAAACTGCAGACCAGTAAAAATATGAACTAAACTGAAATTTTTGGATTAATCTGAAATTACAGTTTAATTATATAAGAAATCTGCAATTTATATGCGAAACTCTAGAAGAATCGCAAAAAATCATGATTCTCTAAGTGTTTCGCTAAATTTTTGTAATCCTCTTAGAGAATTCGCAAATTTTGCGATCCTCTAAGAGTTTCGCATATAATCAAACTAAATTTTCAGATTAATCTGAAATTATTGGTTCAATTCAGATTTTTTTCGGTTCAGATTAGAATTATAATCCGAAAAAAATCTGAACTGAACTGAAAATTTTCAGATCGATTTTTATACAATCTGAAACCGATCTGAACTGAACTAATCTGAAAATCTTCAGATTAATCCAAACCATTCAGAGTTTTAAAAATAGTATTATTATCTATTGGTTCATTCTCCCATTTTAAGACAAGTAATTTTTTAGTAATTTTACTTAAAATAGCATTAGGCTTTTTGGTAGAAGAGAAGAAGAAGAAGGTCATTTATTTTGAGTTTATGAGCGTCTAATATTAGAACTCAAAGGATTAGCAGCATCAGCAAATGTAATATTATTTCTGATAGTATTACAAAGTTTCTTAGGTGTAGTGTATTCATTAAATTGGATTGGTTGAAACTTTTGGTATAGGTATTGAGTATTTTTGTATTTTAGAGTATTCATTTTCTAGGGTATGAAGATGCGTTATAATGTGTTAACAAATAAATAGCATATAGTTTAGTTTTTGCATCAGTCCATTTGAGTTTTTTATTATTAAGTATGAGTTTATCTGTCGTAATTACAATATCAGCTTCGTCAGCATTACGAAAATAGAAGTACACATATTGCAAATAATTGTAGTTTAATTTTACTCGCATAACAATCCAAGTAGTAGCGTTGGTCATCTTACCAATATTAAAGAGGTCACATACTGTAATATCTCGTAGAAGATTAGTTAGTTTTTTTGAGAATTTGGAATAATTTTAAATTTCTTTTCTGTTCTGATTATATATATAAATATGAACAGAGTCGTTGATAATAAGCAATCTATCAGTTACTTGAAGAAGATCAAATTTAGCTTTATTGTCAAAGATGATAGTAATGCATTACCACAAGTTTCTAGTTTCTATAGTGCAACGTATGATGTTTCTATAATGAGAAAAAAATTTTTAATTCATATAACTGTAAAATTTAAAGGGATCTCAGTTACTGTGATTGACTGTGCAGGTATAAAAGGATGCAATTTTTGTATAATCAGAAGTAAAACGTGACTTTATTTGTATTAAAAATCTGCACTTTATAAAGATCATCATATTTATTAGAATCTAAAAAGGCAATCTTAAAAATGTTGATTAAAGAGTCAGCAGGAAGCTTTTCATGTATGACTTCAACAAAGGAAGCATAATTGAAACAATATTTATCAGTGATTTCAGTGATCTTCTGTTGAAATTAACTCCTGGGTATTTTTTAAGCGAAAAATTTTTTAGCACTAAGGAGTAGCGTAGCAAAAGCTACTGAGGTAATGTCAATAGTATTTCAGATGCGTTAAAAAGATTGTTAACATTTATTTCATCTTTTTTATTATTGATTATAATTTCAGTAACTGTATCAGTTTCTTTAGTTTTCTCTTTATCAAGAGGTAAAAGTGTAGTATCAGATGTTTGGTCAACTTCCATAGTGACAATGGGAGGTTGTATAATATTAGAACTTTCAGCAGTAGCTTCTTATTCAATTATTTAAGTGATGTTTTATCTTTTTTGTAGTGGTAGTTTTTCTTTAACTAGTGACGTAAAGTAACTGTGATTGTTAGATTTTTGATTTTTTTTTTAAGCATTTTTAGTGATTAGCAAAAAGAGTTTTTTTTTCTTGCATTTTACATAAATGTTTTTTTTAAAGTGCGATAGTTTCACTAAATCTTTATTATGATAAGAGTAGATATTTATATATTTATAAATAAACTAAAAATAAAAATAAAACAAATCACAAGAAAAAACAAATATTTTGTCTAAAAACTATATTTTAAAGAAAATCAATCTTGCACTCCCCCAAAATTAAATTTAACCTAAGCTAAATATATCACTTTTTAAAAAAATCTTGCATTTTACATAAAGAAATTCTATTCTATTATTATAAAAATAATATACAGTTAGACCTCTCTAAATGCATCCTCTATAAATGCACACCCTCTTTAAATGCACACAATGTTCTGGCCTCAAGCTTAGGACTTAGAGGCTAAATGCACCCTTCAAGTTCTGCACGTGCAAAAAATTTTTCAGTCCTTTGATATGACAATCCGATCTCTAAATGCATGTCACGTGACTATTTTATAAAATAATAGGACCCGTTGATTGATGTGAAAAAAAATTTTTTAATTTTATTTTTTAAATCAATCAATGTACTAACAACTAAAATCACTTACCCTTTGTAGCTACCAAATTCTTCAAGTATTGATTGTTCAGAGGTAAGTCCTATGATATTTTTTATATTTTTTTATTTTTTTTTTAATTAATCAAACAAACAATTAAATTACTTACCTTCATGTAGCTATCAGATTCTTTAAGCATTAGATCATTCGGAGGTACTGTAAGTCCTAAAAAAAAAATATTTTTTATTTTTTTATTTTTTTTTTATCAATCAATTAA